TCTTTTCCCTCCTGTCCCGTCCCCTCCACAGGGATCTCCACATCGCGGGAGTTGCCTGCGTCTAGGCGCTTTGTGGGCCGGTGAGGGTTTCCCTTCCAGAGCCATCCCCATCCTCTAACCCTCCTCCTCCTCCTCCTCCTCCTCCTCCTCTTCCTCACCCTCCCCAGCTGCCAGTGGTGTCCATCCTCAGCTCCTCTGGCTTTCCCTGGAGCTGGGGCAGGGGCAGCCCTGTCCCCTCCTGCCTCCTCCAAACTCCCACTCCCTGCTGGCTTCTGAGCTTGCTGTTCCCTGTCCTGGGGAGGAGAAGACAGGGAATTAGGGATAGAGTTCCCTGGGTAAGTTTGTGGAGTCCCAAGAGCTGCCAGAATACCCATGAGTGGGACAGGAGAACAAAGGCAGTGGGACAAGCTGGAAGGACACACACAGGTGGGAATGGCTGGTGCCGTGGGACAAGTGTGTTGTGGCAGCCGGGGAATCGGCGCTGAGAGGTGCCGCAGGCTCCCGTGGGTTGAGGAGAAATCCCAGGGGAACCTACAAGGCTGGCACACAGGGCAGAATCCGAGAGGGGATCCCACCTAGGAACCTAAAGTTTCCATGTGGGTACGGGCGGAATCTGAAGTGAAGGTCTGAAGCAGTGGCGATGGGAGGGGAATCCAACTGGCATGTGGAGCATCATCCCTCCAGACAGGAGCCTTGTCCCTGGCGTGGGGAGAGGGGGATGTCTGGAGCAGGCTCTGGTTGGGACTTGGTGGCAGAGGGATCTCTGTGCCCAAGCAGGACCTTTAGGTTGTCTCTGCCGGAGTCAGTGGCTTTTCATTTTGAGATTGCTTCTTTGTTCATCTGCCCTTTCACTTCCCAAAAAGTCAGTCTGTGAGATGACAAGGAAGGTTTAGTCCATCTCCAGCCAAGCAGCTGCTCTGTAGCTTATCAGGAAGGTGGAAAGTGGGAGGTGTGACCAGAACAGAGTCACTTTGGCTGTTAAGTAACACTTCTTGCATTCCCTCTCTTCAGAGCCCCTTGCCCTGCCGTTCCTGGCTGCCAAATACCTGCTCCCACTGCTGATGAAGGCGTGAAGGCCAAGCTGACTGTGAGAAGGGACTCTTAAGCAGTTGCTAAGATGGGCATGAGGATCAAGCTGCACAGCACCAACCATCCCAACAACCTGCTGAAGGAACTCAACAAGTGCCGGCTCTCTGAGACCATGTGCGACGTCACCATCCTGGTGGGCTCCCGCTCCTTCGCCGCGCACAAGGCCGTGCTGGCCTGCGCCGCTGGCTACTTCCAGAACCTCTTCCTGAACACGGGGCTGGACGCTGCCAGGACCTATGTAGTGGATTTCATCACACCAGCCAACTTTGAGAAGATCTTGAGCTTTGTGTACACTTCAGAGCTCTTTACAGACCTCATCAACGTGGGCGTCATCTACGAGGTGGCAGAGCGGCTGGGCATGGAGGACCTGCTGCAGGCCTGTCACTCCACCTTCCCCGACCTGGAGAGCTCGGCCATCACGAAGCAGCCCACCCTGTCCGTGGGGGAAGGCCGGGCAGGGCCGCTGAGCAGCACCTCCTCGGAGCAGAGCCACTCTTTGGGTGAAATCCGGAGTGGTGGGGAGCACTTCGGCCCCGAGCGGAGTTACGTCCTGCACGGGGATGTGGCAGGCAGCTACAAAGAGGATGACAGGAATCCTGTGGGCGAAACCAGCCAGGCTCTTCCCTTGATGCATCCACAGCAGCCTCCCAAGACGGAACAGGAGTCAGATCCAGGGCAGTTCGCTCCGGCCGTGGGTCTGGGGGCACAGCCCAGCGGGAACGTCGCGACACAGACCACTGGTGGCTCCTGCCTGCAGTACAAGGCCCAGAGCAACGGTGACTATGGCAAGGGTGGCTTCTTCCCCACTGACCCGTCACTGGATGTCTCCACAGGGAGCAACTCCTGCCCCAGCAACAGTGACCACTCCAAAGAGCAGGGATTCGAGCAGATGGAGGAGCTCCAGCTGGAGGATCTGGGAGAGGCCGAGCTGCATTTCGAGGACGCTGGGGAAGAGCTGGGCCCGTCCGAGGAGGTGATTGAGCTGAGTGACGACAGTGAGGAGGAACTGGCCTTTGAGAGCGACGGCCGGGACAGCAAGGCCATGCCCTGCCAGGTGTGCAAGAAGGTCCTGGAGCCCAACATCCAGCTGATCCGCCAGCACGCCAGGGACCACGTCGACCTGCTCACTGGGAACTGCAAAGTCTGTGAGACACACTTCCAGGACCGCAACTCCAGGGTCACGCACGTCCTGTCCCACATTGGCATATTCCTCTTCTCCTGCGACATGTGTGAGACCAAGTTCTTCACCCAGTGGCAGCTGACGCTGCACCGGCGAGACGGTGTCTTCGACAACAACGTCATTGTCCACCCCAGTGACCCGCTGCCGGGGAAGGTGGCTGTGTTTGGGGGAGGGCCCAGCCCTGACCTTGCCTGTGCTGCCTGCGGGAAGCCCTTGGCCAAAGATTTCCACACCGTCCGCAGCCACCTCCTGGAGCACGTGAACCTGAAGAGCCAGACGTGCGGCGTGTGCGACCAGAGGCACCTGAGCCTCTGCAGCCTGATGTGGCACACCCTATCCCACCTGGGCATCTCCGTCTTCTCCTGTTCCGTGTGTGCCAACAGCTTCGTGGACCGGCAGCTCCTGGAGAAGCACCTGGCTGTGCACCAGCACGTGGAGGAGGCTCTTTTCCAGTGCCACTTCTGCAGCCAAAGCTTCAAGCTAGAAGCGGCGTATCGGTACCACGTGAGCCAGCACAAGTGTGGGGGGAGCCTGGACATCCGCGGCAGCTTCGGGGAGCGGCTGGGGAAACTGCCTGAGGAGTTCCTGAGCGAAGACCTGGTGCTTCAGAGCCAGCCAGGTAACAGCAAGTACAGCTGCAAGGTGTGCGGGAAGAGGTTTGCCCACACCAGTGAGTTCAACTACCACAGGCGCATCCACACCGGGGAGAAGCCGTACCAGTGCAAGGTGTGCCACAAGTTCTTCCGTGGCCGCTCCACCATCAAGTGCCACCTGCGGACGCACTCGGGGGCCCTCATGTACCGGTGCACGGTGTGTGGGCACTACAGCTCCACGCTCAACCTCATGAGCAAGCACATAGGGGTGCACAAAGGCAGCCTCCCTCCGGACTTCACCATCGAACAGACTTTTATGTACATCATCCATTCCAAAGAGGCCGAGAAGAACACGGATAGCTGATGGGGTGAGGCAGGGCAGGGCCGGTGGAGGAGTGAGTATTAATTACAGAAGCTGTGGAAAAAAATATCGTTTGTTTTATTTAATGGTCAGGCATCATGGATGAAATTCTCCTTTTCTGTTTTTTTTGTTTGTTTGATTTTTATCTTTTGGCCTTTTTAAGGCTTTTTTTAGATTGGTGGCGTTGTACAAATTAACAACACGTAAGGTATATCACTGTTTCAAGGAGTCTGTCATGTTTACTTACCTCTGGTCCTGTTAGAGGCCATCGAGTTCTGTGTTTTTAGCATTTCTCACTAGTTTTTGAGTCTAGATTCTATTTTTTTTAACCTTTTAGCCCACTTGACTAGGCTAACCCTGAGCTTGTCCACAAACTGATGCTGCTAAGATTTTCACACCTGACCTCAGTGGAGAGGGACAGAGCCAGAGCAGGTGCTGGACTCAGAGAAAAGAAACAAAAAAGGAAGGAAAGACTCATTCTGGGCGTCCCTGAGGTTCTGCTGCTACTGCCAGGAGATGGGCAAAGCGTGTCTCGGGATCAGCTGTCGCAGGGGAGAGGAGCAGGACGTGTGTGAGTGCGCAGACAAGGAGGGATCCCGCTGGGGAAGGAGAAGGGAGGGATTCCCGGATTCCCAGACCACTTTCGCTGCCGTGGCTGTAGCACACCACACGCTTAGGCCCAGAGAGCCAAAGGAGGAGATGAAGGAGCGACACAGCGCACCTGTAGAGCCCGAGCGGAGGCAGCTGCGTGGGCACAGGGATCTCCTGGAGTAGTTGCTGGACTGGAGAGGGAGGGGAAGCAGGTCTGTGCTCCCTGGGAGATGGTCTGTGGTGGCCACGGATAGCATTCTGATGTCTCCTCAGCTCAGCTCTGCCTCAGCTGCACTCTGTGTCAGGACTGCTTGATGCCACAGCCACTGGATCCTAGCAGATGAGATGTGATGAGATAAGATGTTGCCTTAACTCCCTGGAAAGTACCTTTGGGGAGCCTAAGGGATCCTCCCTCCCACACCGTGGATCGCCACATCCCAGATGTGTCTGGTAGCAAACGTGTGTTGTCGGAGCAATATGAGTTTGCTCCTGGAGCAGGAGCTGCAGCCATGGCCGTGTATCGGGTGCACCTCAGCACACTGAGGGGTTCTTCTGGGTAAGGGTGGATCTCCTGGGCATGGGGAGCTCTCCCAGCCTCATGCCAGGCGCTCCTTGATGCAGGGAGCTCTCCTGGCCCTGTGTTGGGCACTCCTCAGCGTGGGGGCACTCTTGGCTGCATGACAGGTGCTCCTGGGGTGCTCTCCCAGCCCCGTGTCCAGTCCACCTCAGCGTGGGGCTCTCCCAGCCGTGTGTCTGGCACTCCTGGGGGACTTTCCCAGCCACACGTTTAGTGCTCCTCAGGACGGGGAGCATTGCTGGCCACGTGTCAGGCACTCCTGGGGGTCTCCCCCAGCCACGCTGGCGAGGTCAGCCTGTGCTGACAGTGTTTACACCAGGAAGGGTGGGATTGGCTCTTTCCCGTGTTATCCTGCTACGGGGCAGAGGTGGGAGGCACAGATTTCCGACGCCGCAGCACGAGCTCGGACTGCCCTTAGGTAACTCATTCTACCTCACAAACAGGAAGCGCATGGGGGCTTGATGGTCACAGATTGGCCCCTGTGCTTCTGTCATGTTTTGCTGTTACAAAACTAAACTAAACTAGTGATTTGCAAACCCTGGAAACTCACCCCACTGCCCCCTCGCCATGAAGGGACACCGGGAAGGGACAGCCCAGGCAGGGACACCCTGCGATGCGGCTGGACGTGTGCTCTCAGAGCTTGGAGCGCCCAGGGATTGCTTCCCCTGCTCCACTGTGGCCTTGGGCAAGTCACTTCACCTCTTTGCCTCAGTTTCCTCATCTGTAAAATGAGGGTGGTACCTCCCGTGGTACTGACCTACCTCCGGGAGCGGAGAGGGAGCCTGGCTTGGGAGGAGCGGAGGTACCGAAGTAATGGTCAGCCCTGGGCTGGCCTGACTGCTGCAGCTCTGGGTTCCAGGCTCTGGTCTTGTCCCAGGTCTGGGGTTGCTTGGAGCTGTGTTTAGCTGAGTGTTGTTAAGTTTTACAAGAAAGGATCGTTCTGGGAACACTCCAGGAAAGCGTGGGAGCTGGTGGCGCGTCACTGGGGGCTCCTCTGAGCTGCTCTTTGGGTTCCAGGGTTTTCTTCACAGAATATTGGGATGGATGAGGCTGGAAGGGACCACGAGAGGCCACCCAGTCACAGCCCCTGCTCACACAGGGTCGTCTGGAGCACAGAACTCGGGGCTGCGTCCGGCTGGTGGTGGCAGGAAGGGCTGGGGAACAGGGATGGACACAACCTTTGCTGCTCTGGAGATAGCAATGAAGGATGTGAGGGACAGACAAGGCTGGGAGAGCCTTGAGACCTTCCTGGAATGTTCCAGAAGCTGTGGTGATCTTTGACAAGGGTTGGGGCGCAGCACCTGCAGGCCTGGATCTCACTAAGCTGTAAAACAAAAGTCTTTTGTGCACATAAACCAAAAAGAGAAGCTTTTACACCGAAACACTTAACAGGCACAGCTAGCCCTCACTCTGGCCCCAGGGGGAAGGCAGGAGTCCCCCAGTTGCTGCCAGCTCCAATCCCTGGAATTTCTGTTTGCCTGGGGTAGAATGGATCGTTCCCACGTGGAATGTCCTGGGATCAGCAGCGGAGGGAACGCAGGGATGGACCGGACCTGCCACTGCTTCTCCTCGGGGCTTGATGCACAGGAATACGAATGCAAGGAAGAATTTTTCTGTGCAGTCACTGAGCACTGGAACAGGTTGCCCAGAGAGGTTGTGGATTCTGCCTCACTGGAGGTATTCAAGAACCATCTGGATGCAATCCTGAGCCATGTGCTCTGGGATGGCCTTGCTTGAGCAGGGAGATTGGACCAGATGACCCACTGTGGTCCCTTCTGACCTAACTGATTCTGTGATTCTGTGATTCCAGTTCCCACAGGGGTCAGACACCTGAGCACTCCCCCTGGAGGGATCCTGGGCCTCCCCTAGCCCAGGGTTGGCAGGGATGTCATCCCTGTCCTGTATCTGGCCAGCCTGGCTGGGACCCCCAGTTGCAGGTACAGCTCTGAGGCAGTCACTCCATGCCTGGTTCTGTTCCTGCTCCACCACCCTGGGCAAATCTGTTCCCTCCTGTCCCCATCTCCCCAGTGACCGTGGGGACACCAACCTACCTCCCCTGGGCCAGCCTGAGATGTTTGCAAAGTGCTTTGGGATCCTGGGGTAGGAGAGAGGGATGCAGAGGGGAGACACTGGCAGCGACTGTGTCATGGAGCCTCATGGGGAGCCCCAGCAGGGAATCCCCTCCGAGGGCTGTGCTCTGAGCCCCAGGCTCACTCCCATCCCCAGCACAATGTTCAGTTCCCCATTCTCAGTGGATCCAGGTCTCTCATCAGAGTGATTCATCAGAAGAAAGTAAAAGAGTTGAATTTGCTGTCTAACCTTTTTGTTAAGTTAATCGTAGGTACTGACCTCCTGATATTTAAGTGTTTACTATCTATTTGCTGTAAAGTTTTGTATATTTTGTAAACTTTCCCCCCAAATAGTAGATGTCTAAAATTGTTGTACATCGGGTTCTTTTCTACTCCATTGTTCAGCACAAAGTGTGTTTTTTATTTAGAATAATAAAATGGAAAATGTTGACCTCTTGTTCCTGCTTCTTTATAAACCTTGGTCCTGCATGCCAATGTTCCTGCCTCCTCGGGAATGCCCAGGAAGCGCATGAGCCCATCCTGGTATCTTGCTCCCGTGCTGTGTTCGGCAGGATTTGTGGCATGGGTCCAGGACTCTTCCTCTCCAACACCTCTGGCACCAGGACAGTGCTGGGGAACGGGCTGCGGCGTTCCTGTGGGATGCTCCCATGACAGGGTGGGAGCAGAGCCCACCTGGTAGGGAATCCCTGGGTTTGTGTGCCTGGGTGAGCCCTTTCCATGCTGCCAGCGCCGTGCTGCTCTGGAGCTCCACAGGCTGGGAGCTGCTGGCTGAGGCGGTGATGGGGGCACTGCGGGGCACTGGGAGGCACTGGGAGGCACTGGGGGGGTGGTCTGGGGGCTAAAGGAGGCAGTGGCAGGGCTGGTGTATTCCTGGGGTGACAGAGGCTTTGCAGGGAGGCTGAGGGGACTCACTGAGTGCCAGCCCAGATCACCACGTGGGGCTGGATGACAGGTCCGGGGCCACCCTGTCCCTTAGGTCCATGGACAACACTGCAGCTACATTAGGAGAGTTAAAAAAAACCTGTTTAATAGGTCAAATACTAAATTTTACATGTCAAAGTAACTTGAATATATTTTTGTCCTGGTTATGCCACACAACAAGTGGTTTGTTGTGTGTTTATCCTTCATTTCTTCATTGAAAATGGCAGGAAATTAGCAAATGGAAGCTCAGGATCTGAGATCGGGAGGAAAGTGGCTCTGTGGGTGCAGGCCCCGAGGTTCAGCCTCAGTCTGGGGGTCTCACAGCCCCCAGGGGTCTCGTAGCCCTCGTGGCTCTGACTCACGGGTTGTGAAAGCAGATGTGACTAATAGAATTAAGGAAGAGGAGCACCCTGAGCTGCTGCCCTGAACAGGGAATCGCTGTCATGAGGGAGCTGCTGCCTTCCCAGTGTTTCCATGCAAGAGACAGATTTGGAGTGGTCCCTCAGCACTGGAGCTCTAGGAGTATGAAAGAACATCCCTGCAGAAGGAGCCCTGAGGTATTCAGGGATTTACTGTCATAGGAACCCTGGAAGTTGCAGAGTTTTCCCAGCCAGCCTCACCATAATCCTGTGTCCGTGCTAACCCCTGGCCCTGGGCTTCTCCCGGGGCATCCTGCTCCCACCCTCCCCTCCATCTGCCAGCATCCTGTCCCCAGAACTGCTTATGCTCTGCTTTTTCTTCAAAACGTGTTTCTTGAGCAGCTCAAGGCCTTCAGTAGATTTATGTCAGCTTCCCCCACCAAGGGCTTGACCCGCAGCACATGA